ACTTTGGTGAATTAACTATAGAAGTAACAACAAATTATGGTATGTTGAACACTGGTTTTGGTGCATTGAAAATAGGTACTGCAGAACTTAATAATGGCAAATTAAAATGGGCACTTTATCACTTGGTTCTGGCAAGTTGAACATGGTTCTAAACCAACATACATCCTTTGACACTATTATCACAATCTTTACAATCATCATGACAAACATTCACTAAACCTGCCTCAAACAACTTTAAATGGAAGACTCGGAGAGGAGTTTTAATCTCGGAAACATCAAGGATTAAACTCTCTTCAGATACAACATCAACAACATTAACATACCCATGGATGGGCAAAGGATTTTTCTTAACATTAGGCTGAGAATCGCCAAAATAAAAAATCTTCTTTTCCATTAACTTTCTTACAAGGTTCTTGAGAGCATAACAACTTTCTAGATCATGGCCAGATGCACCTTCTTGAAACAAACAATGAGCATTTGGATTATAATTAGGTGGAAGAGGATTAGGAGGTGGACCCAGAGCCCTTGTAGTTATCAAACCTTGTTGTACCAATTAAGGGTACAACTCGGTATAGGTCATCAGAATAGGAGGAACTGGAGGCTTATACTGTATTCTGTTGGGAACATTCTGACGAGGTGCTTGATTTTTCAGTTGTTGATAAGCAGGAGCGTTGGGAGCTCGTTGATAATTAGGTGGAGCTTGGACGGGCTGATAAACTGGAGGTTGATAGATCGGTGGTTGATAAACAAGAGCTAGTTGCACAGGCTGGTATGCAGGAACATGTTGATTAAAAGCGGGTGTAAAAGCAGCCACATACGGTTGTTGAGAAAACTGGACAAGGTCACCTTGTTGTTAAACATAGTTTTGTTGGTGGTTCCGGGGCTGGCTTCTTCTTCTGCTTGACATTAAGCGTTATTTTCACCCTCTTTTTTCTTGTGAGAACTAAAGGAAGGCTTCTTAACATGGTCTTTGTTGGAGCTTGAACTACCAGCAATACTTGACATTTTTTCACTTTTCAAATCCAATTCTACCTTCACACCTACAACAACAATATCAAAAAAATTAGCAGTCACACTTCCAACCATTCTTTCATAAAACTCAGGACGAACATTGTCAACAAACCAATCAGCCAATTCTTTTTCAGTCAAAGGAGGCTCTACTTGGGAAGCAGTCTGTCTCCATCTCTGAGCGTACTCTTTGAATGACCTAGAACTCTTTTGGGACATAGTTAGTAGTTGCCTTTGGTCAGAAGCCAAGTCCATGTTGTATTTATAATGCTTAATAAAATCTTCGGATAGATATTGGAAACTCTTAATGCAAGACTGATCCAGCCTTAAATACCACTTCGACGAAGCACCCTTCAAAATGTCTTGGAAATAGTGAATCATCAACTTATCATTATCAACATGAGCGACCATTTTTTCAATAGTATATGATCAGATGGCTCTTTGGGCATGTAGTTCCTTAATAGTGGTCAAAGCTAGGAGTTTTGAACTTTGGAGGAATAACTAGACCAAATACAAGACACACTTCTCTGGTAGCAGTACCAAAGACCTGATCTCCTTCCATCACTCTTAACCTTTTATCAATGATTTACATATTTCCTCTGAGTCACTCATGACGTTCATTCCTATCTTTCTTCATGTTTGGAACATCATATACTGGTTGATGCTTATTGAAGTATGGTTGCACATGGGTATGTACAATAGCTGGTGCAAAAGTTAGAATCACATGAGGAGCTTTAGTAACCAAAGGAACAACTTATTAAACAACGGGGATTGTAGTAGGTGCATGCACAAAACCCGATGGAAGAACGTAAGGAGGTACATTTTGTAACACCCCAAATTTTAATTGGAATATTTTACTTAATTGATTTAATTGAGAATATTCGATTTCAGTGTTTTTCGGTGACTTTGTGAATCATTGAGGAATTATGCTTTGTGGAGTATTTATTTTGGAATAATAGTATGTAATATGGGTTATTAATATTATTATTAATTAAAATAAATATAAGAGGAATAAGGGTAATTTGGGCATTTGGAGGAGTTAGTAAGGGTAATGAGGGAAAAGCCAAATTCGTGAGGCCCAAGACTAGGTTGGCAAAGTTGAGTTTTGAAGGGAAATTAGAATTCATTGGTGTTAACCGTAAAAGTTTGGTGGCCAGAGCTCTGAAGGAAAGGTTGGAGGCAGAAGATCCCAAAGTTAATCGTGAAAGCTTTGAATCAGCTAAGGTATGTGGAGTATCGTTGTTCATGATTTTCTATGTATTCCTTTCAATGTGTTTATGGTTGGTTTGGGGGTTTTAGGGAGAATTATGGGAAAAAGGAATTTTGGCCTTTGTGGCCAAAATCTATCATTGAGATTTTGACCGTGAGAAGATTAGAAGGTTATGAGAACAAGTGATCTATAGCCTTCGTGGCCTAAATCTATCATGGAGGTGGTAACCGTAAGGATTCTAAGGGTAGAGATGGGAAATAATGATCTTTGGCCTTCGTGGCCTAAACTTATAAGTGTAAATCTAACCGTGAATTCATTGAGGAATTAGAGAAATTGATGATAAGATTCTGATATGATGGCTAATGGTATGTATCGCTGAATATTGATATGAGAATTAGGAAACCTTAGGCCTTTGTGGCCAAAGCCTTGCAATGTTATAAGTCTGACCTTGAAGGGATTTGATATGGGAAGTTATGATGCCTTCGGAGCAATTGTAGAGAAATTGTGATTTAGGACATGAATATGTTACGGGATTGGCCTAATAAACCGTAGGTTTTGTGCCTTTATGGCCGTAAGACCTTAGGGATGATTTAGGGATGTTTTAGGGGCATTGGGGAAGTGAATCGTGTGGACTTTTGGGTTGATTTAGGTTCCGGAGCGTAACAACATTTTGCTGTCCGTCACGACTGTTCATGTTTTCGGTCGAAATCGTTTTGGACGTAACTTTTGATCCGTAAGTCCGTTTTGACCCCGTTCGAAGCGTTGGAAAGCTAATGAACAGGTTTATAACATAGTATAGTTAAGGGAATTTGTTTCCCAATATTTTTATATCTAATTATGTTTGAGAAGTCAATTGTGTATATGTCCTATTAATGAATCATGTTTTGGTTCAATGATGTCTTGATGTTTTGATGCTGCGATTTTCCTGATGAATTACCATGAGGGTAACTGTGATAATATGTGATACTATGATGAATTAACATGAGTAGGACTATGAAGTTTATGTGATTAATAGGCGATAGTATAAGAATTACCGCGAGTATAATTATGAATTAATATGTGATAATATGATGAATTAATATGAGTATGACTGTGAGCTCTATGTGATTCGTATATGATTATATGATGATTTCTATGACATGATGTATGATGATTATTATGATGAATTAAGATGACATGACGTATGAGTTGTGATGACAAGACGTTTGATGATGATGAATATGATGAATGATGATGCACCATATGTTGTTATTATGAGGATTATTATTGACGTGTGCATCGTGAACTCGTGCATCCGGACTTCGGTTCAGGATCTCGATTACTTTGGCTTCAATCCCACTGTGTGGATGTAAAGTGTTTTGATGTGCTCCGATTCTCTAGTAGAACCGATCTTATTGATGGGGATCTATGGAGGGTTGATGGCCCAGTGTCCATCGTGCTGTGGTGATTGGTACCACATGCATTGAGTTTTTTGCATCTTGCATCTATGAGTCTTTTTGTATGAATTATGATGTTGTGACCTTTGGGGCATATTGAGGGATATGAATGTGTTGAATATGATTATGATGCCATTTTATATGTTGATTGTTATACATTGATTATTATGAATTGTGTTACTCACCCTGCCTGTTTGAATGTTACCTCCACGTGGGTAACATGCAGATGACCAGGTTTAGTCGTGGACGCTGTTGAGGACTTTTGAAGTTTCGAGTTGTTAGCCTTTGGTTAACTTAGAGGGTCTTGCTCTGATAGTGTAACATTGGGTTGGAGTTTATGTTTTACTTGAGTTATTTTAATTATCTTTCTGTATAAGGAAAACTTTGGATATGCCTTTTGAGTTCCGCTGCTTTGTGAAAATTGATGTTTTCTGGGAAAACCCGTTGTACACAGAGCATTGACTTATTTTGAGCTATTGAGAAATGTACACCTTTTGAGGTGGATTTTATCGAGTTAAATATTTTACTCTGATTTATGTGAAAAATGTGCCTTTTGATCGTGGGTAGAAAAAGGTGTTACACATTTGTTGTAGTAACATTAGCTAGCTGAGGTTCCACAACTGTATTGACAATCTTAGAAACAACAGTGGGCTGAGTATCCATCTTCGCGCGTATAACCTATAGTATCTCCATAATTTTCCCTACGTTACCCCGTAGGTCTTCTAATTCATTGTTGACACGATCAAGCTCTTGACTATGTTCCACCATCCTTTTAGGAGCTTGAGCTCTGGTGTTGTATGGGCGCAGAGGACTCAAGGTGAAAGAACTGAAGATGAGACAACAAAATGATCAAAATGCAAAAATAAAATGCACATGCAATGACATGAATGCAATGCAATGATTTCAAGGAAATCAAAAGCAAGTTGTAAACATTTTGGAAAAACTGAAAAAGTTTTATTTTAAAACCCATGATCGCTATTGATTTTGCAAAGGAGTGAATAATTGAATTTCTTGAAACCAAAGGGTTATTCATGAGTGCATGAATGTAAGGATGAATGAGTGCACACATATACACATATACACATATACACATATATACAGGAAAACAAACAAGGGCCTAGGTTTGAAGATCACAAGCATGGAGCCATGGTCTACCCATCCCAAAAGGTATGTACTATGGGTTCTTGCATCTACAGAACAATGGTTCTAAGAAGTTCCCAAAGTCATCAGTCCATATTTCAGATATTATCAATCAGTGGCGAAATCATACTGTAAAGCTTGATTAAAGATTATAATAAACACATAGTTGTACATGAAATGATTAAATATTATTACATAAAAATACCTTAAAATAATGGTCTACGGTTTTTGAGTAGCTTGAAACCATCAATATTAACCGTCATGCTATCTCTTAGAAAATCAGCTTCCATTTTGTTTCTCAATCTTGTCTTGATAATTTTCATTTCCGAAAAAGATCTTTTCGTAGTAGTTGTAGATACAGGAAAAGTCATGATAAGGCGGAGCAGTCTATCGATCAAATAATAAATTTCCTTCTTTTTAGTTGCAACCAAAGGTGAACATAACTCTTGAATAGTCGACAAATTATTCAAACTTGATGCTTGACGAGCGTCAATATTAAAATGCCGAAGTTGAAATTTCAAATAAATCTTCTCTTGCTCATTGAAGTCCATAGGACAATATTTTTCAACTAGAGTTCAAATGGTGTCAAGGTTAAAAGCCTTGTAATTATCCTTAGGATTCAAAGCACCATTTAGAGTTAACAAATCAATCGCTTGCTCACTAAATATGTTATTCAACTCTTGCAGTTGTTTGTCAATGGTAGTGAAAAATATTTTAACTCTAAAATAATGCTCAATGGTTGCCTGGTTATCTTCAAGAAGAGAATGACTAAATCTTGTTGTTGAATAAACATCATTAACATTAGGAATCTCAATATCATGTTTTTCACAAAAAGACTTCACAGAAGCAAACAATTCATCCCAACCAATTTCTCTTAAATCTTGAATTAGAGTTTTTGTTGTACTAACCAAATGCATAGCATTAACTACATCCTGAGATTGTTGTTGTAAAGCTTGACAAAGCATATTTGTGATCCCCATAATTTCTTTCATCAAATGCAATATGAATATGAAATCAAAGGACTTCAAATAATTGTAAGCACTATCAGCATCTCCACGTGAAGCATAACTTAATCCTTCCTTTGCAAATTTTCTTGAAACATGACAAGTTGCTTCATACATATTCATTAAGCTAGAAATAGAAGAGAAATGTGATCCCCAGCGAGTATCCCCAGCTCGCTTTAAAGTACTAATTTTATTTTCACCTTTACCAATTACAATCTCACCAATCTCTAATAAGTGTTCATTTTCATCTAATTGAGAAGCTTATAACTCGTCGTGGCGCTTTGTAGAAGAACAAACAACATTGAAAATTAAAGTAAGCTTCTCAAAGAGTTGATGAATTGGTTTAACTTCTCTTGATGCAGTAATCAAAGCAAGTTGCAATCGATGAGCAAAACAATGAACATAATATGCATAAGGACAATCCTTCATAAAGAGTTCCATTCTTCTATCATATTGCTAGCACCATCATACCCCTGACCACGAATGTTGAAGACATCAAGGTTATGTAGAGAAAGTATATCACAAACTTTTTGCTTAAGAGTCAAAGATGTAGTGTTACTAACACGTGCAAGACCAACAAATATCTCTTGTATAAAACCATCTTTATCAACAAATCTCAAAACAAGAGACATTTTTCTATTTTTTGGATTCATCACGCGCTTCATCTACAATTATACAAAACTTGGATTCACCAATTTCTTCACGGATATGCTTTTCACCCTACTTGAAAGAATGTGCAAGATTTCTTTTTGAATTAAATGTGAAGTATACTTGCAATTAAATGGAGAACTTTCCAACACAACTTTTGCAACTTCATCATTGTAACCTCCTAAGAGTTTTATCAATTCAAGAAAATTTCCTTGGTTTAATGATTCTGTATTTTCATCATGACCTCTAAAAGCACACGCTTGAAAAGTTAACCAATGAACAGTGTCAATTGAAGTCTTGAGACGTAGTCAACTCTTCATAATTTCAATTGAACTTTGAGCTTGAATAATATTCCTAATGTGACCATCTTGATTCAACAAGTATTGACAAGCTTTCATAGCGTTGTTATATGGAGAATAAGGAGCTTTCATAGCATTGTTATATGGAGAATAAGGATCTTTCATAGCATTTCTAACTTTCTTCCAACCTCTAAAACTTGTAGAAATGAAGACACCAAAACCAGGATGTTCACTTGGTCTTTTGCTAAAAAGATAACATGGTAAGTAATAAAAAGCATCTTCTGAAGGTGAATATTCTAACCATGAAGGAAAAAGGCTAAACCAAGCGTGTTGAAAACATCTTTGATGGTCTTCTTTACCAGACAATGGATATTGCTCTAAAATCATTTGATATGGACCCCATTTTGAATAAGCTCTTCGTATTTCATCCATTTGATTTACTGGATATTTCCACATTGAAGGACGTTTTCCAGGATCACGTTCTAAAGAATTCTCAATGTCATTCGAACAAACTCTATTAACATTTTCTTCAATTCTTGGATTCTCAATAACTCTTGTAGGTTCAGACATATGTGTTAAATTCTCTTCATCTCTTTCTTTCCTCTTGAAAAAAGAATCAATTTTTTTACTCTTCATTATTGTTAGACGATGGCATGGATCTAGAAGGGGGGTTGAATAGATCCCTTATTTAAAAAATTAGTCGGCACTACCAATAAAATGGTTTTAAAAAATTGTTTAATTTGCGGAAGCGACCATGGAAAAATTACCGTCTATAACGAACGGTTACTATAAAACCGGATATGCGTTTTAGCCGATGGAATTGGATAACGAGTAATGCGAATCACTACTCTAGTCACACTCTCAATTTGATTTAGCTCACAAAGTGATATGACTAGTTCTAATGCCTTAAAATATTACCACAATAAATGGAAAGCACACAAGGATTTTTGTTTAGGTAATTTATCAAACACTTGGCGTGCAAAGCACTTCAAGTGAGTTCAGCTTTAAGTAATTTGCTCTAATTTCCTAGTACAATCAATGATTGTACTAGAGTCAAAAACAGTCCAACACTTACTCAAAACAGTCCTAAATTTGATATAATTGCTTGTACTAAAACCACATAAATATTAAGCAAATGTAAAAGCGTAAGGTAAAAGGCACAAGGATTTGTAGAGGCAGTTCCCCCGTCGCCCTCGCTTCGGGGTACGTCTGCCCTTAATTCTAACAATAGAGTTGAACTCTTATAATATAAATTTAACCTGTTGTAGAATCGTATATACAAGAATGAAATAGAAATCAAACAAATGAACTCCTCTGTTGTTGTAGAAGCTATCTCCTCTTGTCCCTTGATTCGAGTCGAATCAAGTTCTTCGACAGCTTGTGTACGAACCTCCGATTACAGCTCTATGTTTGAACAATCTTCCGTCTTCAAACCCCAGCCCGGCTGATCTCAAACACTCGCGTGTCGAACCCGAAATTCTCCTTCACAATTTTCCGATTACCGCCACTAGATCGACGGAACCCACCGCTCATCGATCACCTTCACTCGGCCGAATATATGTTGAGAAGACTCGTCCAAAAACCCCTAAATGCAGAGAATCTTGGAGGACAAAACCTTAGAAGTTTTATTCAAGAAAACCTGCCAATTCCTCAACCCAAACCGGATTACCCAATCACGACTTTGAACGTTATCACCTTAGACAATCCATAATGCACAACAAAGATTATTATGTGTGATTGTTGTGATATGAAGTGTAGAAGATGAAGATGATGAGAACTTGAATTGACACCTCTTTCACTTTTCTTGCTTTTGTAATTGATTCAATTCATATGAAAAGAATAGAGCAACTGAATATTTATACCAGATAAAACTGTTATAACTTATAAAACTAACATTCAAAAATAATAGACAACACAAAAATTATGCAGCAAACAGCGAGTGGTCGACCCATGCAGAGTGCAGGGTCGACCTGAGCTAACCCGAGGCCAAATATTGTGCAAAACAAGCAGCTATGCGTCGAACGGAACAAGGCTATGCATCGACGCAAAGCCTGAATATTTTGAGATACAAATGACAACAGTATACGTCGACCGGTAGGTCGACCATACCAGACCCGAGAAAAATGCATTTCTAAGACACTTGCCATGAGTCGACCGAAGCAGAGTTTAGGTCGACTCAAAGACCTAAAACATCAAAAAATGCTTAAATTCATATTTTGATTCTTTTAGATGAAAGCTATCATAGACCAATTGAGTTTGACACGTATGACACATATTTCGACAACTTTAAATGCAGTACTCGAGATTTTTAGTGCAAGCAAACAAACATGAGAAATAAGGTATGCTCATGCATCATGGTGATAACGCCAAATGGTTATTCTTCCATGCGGCTCGGTTTTGACATCATCGAAACACACATATCAAGTATCTGAGGCTTTGCCCTCACATACTCCCCCTTTTTGATGATGGCAAAACACGTATAACCTGTTTGTATGATATCCGACATTATCCTCCCCCTTGCTTGATGCCTTCATTCTCACTTACTCATTTGCGTTAAGTGCGACGTCTTCATGTTTGATCTTTATGGTTCTACTAAACAACTTGACACTTTCTCCCCCTTTGACAACATCAAAAAGAAAGAAATTTCTGTTAAGAAATGATAAACTAATAACAAATTCTCATATCAAAACATGCTCAACAGGATAAGCATTAACAATCATCCACACATGACAAAGTTAATGATCAAGGAATAAAAAGATAATTAGCACCATACATAGACAAAAATAGTAATTTTTACTAGAAATACAATGAATACATTAGAAATTAACTCAAGTAAGTAAGTTCATGAAGCAAGACATTAATCACATTAGAAATGCTTAATACAAGGCAAAATTCACAGCAACATAAAAGGATGAAATGCAATTATGCAGAATGCATAGCCTTCAATGTCTCCTCCCCTTGAAATGTTGGCCTCTCCTATGATACGGATACGGAGGAAGCATTTGAGCCTCGGCCATGTCAGTAAACTCTAAAACGATACGGTTCAAGGTGTTGAGGCTATTTGTAATGACTTGGTGCTGAATTTCAGATGATTCAACCAGAGCATCGAACCTTTGATTGATATTAGAAGAGAATGTGTTGAAGTTTTCAGCCTACTTCTCAAATTGAGTCTGAAGTTGTGAGAGACGTTCATCCTGATCAGTTATGAAAGCACGCTGTTCTAATTGTATATTCCTCATCATCTCGAGGAGTTCAGAAGAATGCTATTGCGGGGGATTCGTGAAGTGTGTCTGCTCATTATAGCCCCACTGTAGAGGCTCCTCATAGCCCCAATATGAAGACTCCTCATGACCCCACTGCGGAGTTTTCTGATACTCCGAATATTGTGGAGGTTGATAGTTGTCACGTAACAACGTCCAACCGGTATTTTACCATTCGCCCCAACCTTGACTTTTTCCATGGTCTGAAGTAGGAGATTGGTTAGCCCAACTCACATTTATGTGATCGACAACTTCCCTTGGTTGTCCATCACCTTGGTCATTTTGTTCTTCTTCGTCCTCTCCATCTTCCTCATCACTCCCATCGGAGTCTTCCAACCGA